ATAGTAATATAATGCAAAATAAAGTAAAAACACGACAGTCGATTACAGTTATTTAAACCATTACCAACCCTTCTCAGTAAACGAGGGAGGTCTTTCGTCTTGTATATTCATGCATGAGTATTTTAATTTAGTCAACTTGGTCATGTCCGTTAGCAAGTTTTATTATATGCATTGCTGGTTAAAGTTTTAAAAACAAAGAAAGCAAAATAATAAGTTAATATAAACTTATATAAACAAAAATTTTAATAACAATAATTTATATAACTAAGAAGACTGGATTTAAAGACACATATCTCCTTAAAGGAATAAAGTTTTAAATATAGGAAAACCGTTTTAGAAGATATTTATTTTAGTTTTTAAATATTTTATGGGTTTTTTATTTTTTATAGAAGTTGAATAAAAAAATAAATTTAAAACAAATAGAGACTAAAAAACGTGTGTACGAATTTTATTTAATTACAAAAATGCTGGTAAAATGTTCACATATGACCACTTTAGAGTTGAGAAAATACCTAATAGTACTTTCTACAAGATAATTAAACATGTTGAAAGTGAATTTGGGTACCAAAGAATTCAAGGAAGTGGAGTAAAACATTGAAAGGCTCAAACTTATGTTTGACCATAAAGACAAAGTTTCTCAACGACGGGCAGCTAAAAAAATAAACTGTGCTCAGCAACACATTAGTAAAACATAAAAAAAAAAGAAAAAATATGAAATCAAAACATTTTATTTAAATTAAATTAGAACATTTTTCCTTTTTGTTTTATCTTATTTTTTTAAAAAGTTTAAATCCAGTTTTGTTTTTTAGTTGTCACCCGATATTGTACTGTATTTATTTTTATTTTTTTAAATAGTAATAATTATTTTCTGCAACAAAATTCTTGAAATCTTATTTAAAAAGTACCATACTAGCATTTGTAGTCGTATTCCATTTATTTTTTATAACTTTTTTGCTATTAATTCAAGTTGATAAGTCCCTTGGAACAAAAAACCGAGTTTTTTGATAATTAAAGTTTTGAAGAACAGATTTCATAAATTAAAACAGATTTCATAAATTAAAATTTTGAAAAATAAGGGGTAATTATTAATTGATATTGATATTAGTCAATTTTCTCTTTAATTGCTCAGAAGAGTGCCTAATTACTCTCCCAATAAGTTGAACGGCAACCGTTTTGGTTTGGCTTTTATATAACTTAATGTTAGCAGATATATATCCAAATTTTGTATTTCGCAATTGCCTAGTTCAAGCATTATTTTTACATTAAAAATGATAAAAATATTTTTAAAAAACGCAATGCAACTTATTTTTTCGCTTTCCTTTTTAAAAAAAAGTTAAATAAGTGAAAATCATTTTTTTTAAAATGGTTTTTTTTTTTTTTTTTTTTTTTTTTTTTTGCATTATCATATCCAATTTTGATGTTGAATGTAACAACGATTCTAAGGAAATAAAATATAAACAGTACATAAATTATTTAACCTAATAATTTTTTTTTATTTTTTCTATTTATTTTTCTTTTTATTTCCTATTTCGTTAGTTTTTTTTGTTTTTTATACTTCTCTTGCAATGAACAATATGGTATAACTTGCAAACGGCCGTGACCAAGTTGTCTAAGATAAAATACTCGCGTGTGGTCATAGAAGAAAAAAGACCACACACGTTTCCTGGGAAAGTTTAATTAGTGATTGATATCGATATTAGCCGATTTTTTCTTTATTCGCACAGAAGAATGTCTAATTACTCTCCCAATAAGTTGCACGGCAACCGTTTTGGTTAGGCTTTTATTTGACTTGAATGCAGCATTTAATAAAAGCAACAACACAATAAGATCATAAATAGTATAAAGAATTATAAAAAAAAATAATAAATGTCATACTGTGAAACATAAATTTTAAAATTCAAACTTTTCATTCAATTATAAAAAACTATAATATTTGCTTTAAATAGCAAAACTTTTTCAATTGTATCAGTTGGATTTTTACTGAACAGTTTCACCTAAAAAGAAACAATGCAATAAACATTAAAAGTGTTTTTGACAATTTTATTAAAATGCTGTCATAATATATATCACTCAAAGGAATCATCCATAGATTATGCAATGCTAAATTTTATTTAAAAATATGAAATGGTAAGTGCTTTTAAATTTTCTTTAAAGTAAATGGTCTGTTTTGGTTTTTTATTACTTGAGGCTCAGCGAGGGAAGACTTAAAACTTCTTTTGTTTTGTTTATTGGTAACACTTAGCGTGCTTAATTTATAGACGATCCCTAAACTATTAGGGTTATCTCCATTTGTAATTTTAGGGATATCTCCCTAAAATTACAAATGGAGGATATCTTTAATAGGGATATATCCATTTGTAATTTTTCTGTTTTAAACATTATTTTTATCTAAAATTTAACGTTGTCTGAATTTTTTTTCCGGATATATAGAGAACTATGCAGTTCTGACTACGAACACGTTTTTTTATTTAGCAGGTTCGAACATAATGTTTCTCTGAAATTCTTAAATGTTAATCATATGAATGAAGCTATATAAAGCATAAGACTGTCTAAATATGTTTGGAAAGAGGCCAAGTTAAACTAAATAATTCAAAATATCATAAAGTTCATGCCTAACCTTAAACAAAATTACATAAGCAATTTAAGTTCAAGTTGTCTAACGTCAATAACTATAAAGTAACGCAATCTATAATCGCATTATATGGAGAGTTGAAAAAAACTAACGTGAACAATATAAAACATACATACATTCATCCATACATTCATACATTTATACATACATACACACATACATCTATACATACATACATACATACATACATACATACATACATACATACATACATACATACATACATACATACATACATACATACATACATACATACATACATGTTTTTGGAGGTTTAATATGGTTGTGATGGTTGATACAACAGAAAGCATTGGGTAATATTTTTCGGTTTGCGCGCCCCAATCTTTTCATATTTTTTTAGTGGAACGCAATTTGATGGATACTTTTAAAATACGTTGCTTTGTGAAGCTTTACCTCTTTTTTTAATTTAAACAATTGTTTTTGAAATATCGTAGCAAATGTGATTGTTATGCCATGATTAGTACTTATGCTATTTTTTAACTTATTCTTCTAGTTTAGGAAATGCTTTCTTTTCGTATAGTAATGCAAACCTGTGCCTTTATCAAAGAGATAAACCTCAATATCTTAGTTTTTTAAATTTTCTTATATAAATACGTTGTTATTTAGTTAAATTATCTTTTAAAGTTAGTTCTAACGGATTCAAAAAGTTTTACAACAGCTTTGTCTAATTATTTTCTTAATATAATGGTAATTTTTTGATTTTTTAGTTATATTATTAATTAACTAATGTTTGTTTAATCTTACTTTATTCTGTAGAGATATTTTCAATTTATCAATTAACTTCATACTTGAATATAATCTGTGTTTCGCTTCGTTGCATGCATGAACTAAGAGCTTGTTTCTATATTCCTTCATTATGTTCTTTGCTTTTTTAGTTTTTATTTGAAACGACTTAGGAGTTATATTATTTGATATGCACTTTAAAAAAAAAAGAGTTTTTTTTTTTGTGTACAATCTTTGAACGCCATACAATCTGTTATACAATCTTTGAACGTCATGTTCTTGTTATATTTAAAATGTGAATAAAATTTAATAAATACGGCAGCCTATAAATATCTTTGTAAAAATATATTATGTTTTTATATTTTATATTTCGCTGATTTATTGTGATCAGCGTCATCAGGTTTAATGAATAAAAAATATTTACAACAAAAATCATTTTGTAAAAAACAAACCGTTAAAAACTTGAAGTTGATGTTGAATGAAGTTCAAAAACTTTCATGAGATATGTAGACAGGTGTCATGCTTGCTCTGTCTCAATAAAATAAAAAAACAAATGTTTTTAAATATCCCAGACAAAATAAAGTTCTGCAATAAAAAACACTGTTGAACTCAAAAACCACCAAAAACAATTAAATTTTTTAGATAATAATGTTGCTAACACAATGTATGGAGCCTATAAATTTCAAATATATTGAAAAGAACCAATATGTATTATTTAACTTAAATCAAATAAAACCATCAATATTAGTATTTTTTCTGGCGTATTGTTTTTAGTTTCATATAAAGTCTTATCTCTAATGATGTTTTCTAATGATGTCATCTCTTTAATTTTATCAACTTTTTAGTGTTTTTAAATATTTATTTTTTTTTGTAACAAAAGTATTAAATAAAACGTTGACGTAGAAGTTTGCCTTTTACATTTGATACATTTGTTAAATTTTACTTTTGAATTGAATTATATTTGTTAAGTAAATAACTTAACTTCTCTTTTTGTTTCTGATGCTAATCTTTGATTCTACTTCAGTTTTCGTTCTTCGCATAATTCCTAATTTTAGTTTTTATTCACATTAATGAAATTGATTCTTATATACAAAGATACAGGTACACATACAGATTTACATACATACAAGCGTTCACTTACACATTGGTACGTACATACAAACATATTCAATACAATATTTACAACGTAACTTTTTTTTTCTTAGATAATATTTTGATTATTTAGATTATGTAGATTATAAACGACAAGTTTTATCTTAAGACAAAAAAATGTGTAGTTTTGAAACTATTCTAAAATAAATTTTTTTAACTATGCTGTTATGTTTGTTTTTTGTTTTTTAGTTACGTTTGTTTTTTGAATTTTTTTTATGTTTGTTTTTTGTTTTGTTATTTTTGTTTTTTGAATTAAAAGTTATGTTTGTTTTTTGAACTTTATATAAGTTAGCTACATTTATTATGGTTTTATAAATCCATTATTATTTTACTATATAAAACAAATTGAAGCCGTGTCACAAATTATTTCGAATTAAATTTACCGCCACCTTTTAATACTCATTTAGCAACACTATTATATTGTAAAAAAATGCTTTTTTAACAGTTTAAGAGAATTTTTTTTTTCCTATAGATTTTATTAACCATGCAAACCAGGTTCTCTTGAATCAAGGCACTATTCTTGGAGAACTCGATGTTTTGAAGAAGGAGTACTCTGTCTCTTTTAATATTTTTCCTAAATCGTACACAAATGGTTGGAAAAGTGTTCTTCATTTAACTCAGGGCAAAGATTTTGGAGATTATGGTGATAGAATTCCAGGCGTTTGGTTTAATGAAGATAGCTCAGGAAAACTTGTCATTTATACTGCGCTTAGAGGCTATAATGACTTCAATGTTAAAACAGATCCTCTTCCTTTAAATCAATGGACTAATGTTAAAATAGGTCAAAGAATGCGTGATAATACTTATTGGTTTTATGTTTATTTAAATGGAGTCATGAATCATATTATTGAAAACATTGATGCTAGAGATTTTAAAAACGTAAAGGTATATGCTTCTGATCCTTGGTACGCTGCCCAAAATGGTCTTATTTCTAATATACTCATTGTTAATGGAAACGTTGGTAAGAACTACATAAAATCTATTTTTTATTTTAGCATTTTAATTGCTTTTTTTTATAACTCTTATAAATAAAAAAAAATGTTAAGAAGTTTCCAAAACTAATGATATTACAAAATCTACAAGAACCCTATAAAATGAGTTGCACAATTCGCTGCAAGACTTGCAAGTATCTTTTAAAGGATCTTGTAGGATTCTAACGAGTTTTTATATGATAATGTAAAATCTACAAGAATGTTTAAAAGAATATGCAGGACTAACGTAGATTTTTTATATTATGCTGGAGGCAAATTGTAGATTTGCATATGTACCATCCATTTTGGTATTATTATAAACAATGTTATAAACTAAACAATCAAAGTAATAACATACGGATTTATGTATTTATTTTAAATAAAGGGAAATACGCTTACTTATTTTTTTTAATACTGAATATAGGTAAGTCTAAATTTAAATTGATATTTTTTAATCAAAATACTAATTCAATCTGTATAAAAAAAATTTTTTTATAACAAAAACTAAATAAATAACTAGGCAGACATTTTTAATTTTAGTCTTTTGAAAAACAAAAACTATACATATACCTTTATTCACAAAATTGTGTACAATAAGTAATGAATAATCAGATAACAACGAACATGCACTTTACTCATAACTATTATACAATTTTAATGCATGTTTAGAGAACAATTGCATTAAAATTGTATAATAGTTATGAGTCACAAAATTACAAGTGCATGGCTGATGACATTCAATTTTTCTTCATATCTAGACCACTCTAATTCAGGCTTTCTCAAAATTTGCCAAAACGATTGCTAGTTTCTCCTTGAGGTCTCGCATTGGTGTATCAGGAACTGTGGTTCTATAATAAATTAAGATATAAAGATAAATATCAAAATGTAAATTTTCTCTCAACTGTGTAAATTGTGTAAATAGCTAGTTCATAAAGGCACTAAATTAGCATAGCAGAGCTTAATCATAAATGATGATAAATCATCTTATTATTAGTTGAGCATTTATTTAAACTCAAAAGATGCCATAAATAGAAACCAACATCAATGAATAAACTATAAAAGGTAGCTCGTAGTTACCTTTCATAGGGTAAGCATAGCTTATGATTACGTTTAGTATAGGTTTTAGTCTTTATTTTAACTAAGTTATTGTTTTTTCACTTAGAGGGTCGTCCATTAACTACGACACCCAGTTTTTGAACCACTTCATCCAAAAGTCTCGTCTCTCTTAACGAATCCATAACACTTAATTGCCTTTCATCCTCCTATTACGTATTAACTTTGTACCATCGCTGCAAAAAAAGTTTTTATAAGTTTTTTAAGGATGCAAAAATTAAAAAAATACAAAACAAATTCAAATATAACAATGTCTAAAACTCTCTGAGCTTCTTTGAGTTAATTAATTAGTACTTTTTTTGAAAAGTTGTACAAGTTAACTTCGCTATCCTAAACATGATACAATTTTTAAATGTCTAATCTTCCGATGTATAATAAATGCAAAATAATATATATGTAATATATAATAAATAATTAAATATTAAACATGAAAAAAAAAACTATTTTATGAATACAGTTTTCTTTTAACTATAAACGTAGGCGTGGTTTAGTGGTTTACTGCCACCGGCTAGTAAACCAAAGGTTTCAGATTTTCTTTTCGATATCAAAGTTTGAGTTGTTTCTACTGCAAAAAGGTTGTTTTTTTGTTGCTGCAAACTTTTTTGCACTAACTAAATAAAGTTTAGGACTAGAGCCATACAAATTCAAAGCGCAGAAGCGCAGAAGCGCAGAAGCGCAGAAGCGCAGAAGCGCAGAAGCGCAGAAGCGCAGAAGCGCAGAAGCGCAGAAGCGCAGAAGCGCAAAAGTGCAGAAGCGCAGAAGCGCAGAAGCGCAAAAGCGCAGAAGTGCATACTGCCGTAACAGCCTGTTACGGCTGTAACTACTCCATTAACGGAAAAATACATCGACTAAATAAGATTTAGGTGTATTTGATTTTACAAAAAAATGTATATACTACAACTAAAAGTTTTGGTTCGGTCAGATTCTTTTAAAGAAGGTCTTCTCTAGAAAAAAAAAAAGACTGCGTCACAATATTAAAAGAACCCCAACCCTCTTTTGTTTTAAATTGCCAGAAATTTGTCTAACCCAGCTTTTCTTTTTAACGTAACAAAGTTTATGGACGCCCACTTTTGGTCATTCAAATTATACTAATGCATTCTTTTGAGTTATGTGGCCATTATAGCTTTTATGTTAGGTTAATTATTAGGTTTGGCGCAATCTATGAAACTACGCGTATTCTACAAAGCAACGCGTACCCTATGAAGTTACGCAAACCCTTCAAAGCTACTCGTACCATATAAAGCTACGCGGACCACACGAAGACTTTTTTCTTTTAGATGCACCAAGAAGACCTAACGGTCTTGTCACAGAGCACGGCGGAGGTTTATTTAACTAGTAAATTCACGTCTATTTCCTTACCGTGATGCGAAAATATGTCCAGAGCTCGTTTCAAACCTGGATCTCCTGCTTATAAAGCAGACGCTCAACCACTTCGCCACGGCCCAAAGCTTATAGTATGCCAACGCTATACCCTTGTGTATATAAAATGTCATAGATTTCGGATAGTTTTACTAAACTAAAATAAGTACTTTTTAACAGTATTGACAAGAATCTTTTTTATTCAAATTTATTCGTAATTTAATTACATTTTGATTGAATTAATTACTTTTAAAAGATATCTAATACAACAACTACAGTCAACATTTTAAAACTAAAAGTTAAGTTTCTTTAAACTCCACGCAATCGCGTAAAGTGTTGAGTTAGCCACCACACTGGTGTGTAGCTATTATTTATATACACAAGTGTGAAGTTAATATGCACACTTTTGTGCAAAGTAGTTTTTTTTAATATCATTATATTGGGTTATGATGCTTCTTATAAATAAATGATTTTAAGAAGAGCAAATGATAATAGAGTTAAAGTCAGTAGTTGAGTTAGAAAAATTAATTTGCGCAAAAATGTGCAAAATCGCTTGCGTAAAGGAGTGACAGCTACACACCAGTTGGAGGAAAACTCAACATTTTCCGCGAGTGTGCATATTGCAAACTAAATTTATTCCCAATACATGTTATATTAAAACTGTATATTTTAATTTATTAACATTTGCAGTTAGGTGTTGCATTGTAGCTTACATTTGAATTCTAAGAGTGTTCAAAATGTTTTCCCTTAACCCTTTACATTGCTCTAAAATTTAAAATTTAAGTTCTTGCTTTTCTTTGCAATCATTATGATTTATAATTTGCAAAATGCTTTAAACTTGCCTATTTATAATTGTTTCAATGAATGATCATAAGAAGTGCTTATTTCAAGATTCTTCTATATTTGATCTGGATCGTGTTCCCTTAAGTTAAACTAATTGGTTTCAAAATTTTAAAACAAATTCAACATACTTGTAATAATTTATGCTGGCAATTAAACGCAATTTAAACAGGGTGAAATAAACATTTTGCTTATCAATCAGTGCCGAAGACACGGTGATTGAAGTGGAAAAAAAGAGTCTGTTTGTTAGAGCTTTGTTGAAATAAAAAGAAAATAATAAAGTCATCATTTTTAAAAAAAATTTATTATTTTTTAACATTTATTATTATTAAACAATTTATTATCCTTAAGCAATAATTATTATTAATAATTTCCATTATTAAACATATTTGTCTGCCAATACAAAATTAGTCAGGTGCTAATTTAAATTAAGGTATTCAAAATTGAAAATGTTTTATACCTAGAATGTTATATCTTCTAAAAAAAATTAGCTAATATACAAAGTAATAAAAGATAGATAATTATAAGTTTTATTAAATATAATCAAGGAATTAAATGCATAAACGTCGCTAAACCAAATTACCTTTCCAAATCTGCAAGAAATATTTTTCTATAGAATCTAGCTACTACAATGAAATAATGTGCTGTAAATATAATTATAGATATACTAACAACATTTTTCGAGATAATGAAACTAGATAAATATTAAGTAGCATACAGAAGTCTCCAGATAAGCCCAAATTTTGATCTTGGTCAGAATCAGCAGATGATTGGTTAGGTGATGAGCAATATTTGAAAAATGTCTCCCTTTAGATATATATTGTTTATAGAAAAATAATATTATAGAAATCAAATACAAATATAAAAAATTGCAAGTTTATAATATAAGTTTATTTATAAAAAGTAGGTTTAGCTGAAAATATCAAAATAAAACTATTAGAAAAATACCAGGTAGATAATAAACATAAAGCTAAAATAAGTCAGGAAAAATTATTGTAGCATTGTCATTTTTGAATATGGCGTCAGTAAGAACATTGTCACTAGCATACCCCTCCAAATTTTTCATTTTGATTTTTAAAACTTTTTCAGACTCAAAAGCAATTCAATACATAACATTAGGGAAATGAATCCTTATAAAATTCATTTTTGAGTTATTATGTGCGGGGTGCAGGTAGAAGACAAAAGTTTTATCCTTCAGCCTCGCTGTACCAGTTACATAATAAACCAAAAAAAAAAATATATCATATATAAAAAAAAAAAAAAAATCACAAATTTCACAGTAAAATAATAATAATACTTTTAAGTAAAAAGTGTTCATTGCTTTTTTGTGATATTCTACTTTTTTTTTTCAAGTAAAATACAACTTAAAATAATATATATAAGATATTCAATACAATTTATAGATAAGTAAAAGGGTAAAGGGTGATGTCGCTTTTTAACCAAAAGGTAAAAGTTAACTGCTTCTTTAAAGTACTTTGAAAAGTTTGAATTAAAGTTGCAATTTTACTATTATTCGGGAGAAATTTTAATAATATTTTAAACAAAAAATGCCTAATCTTTTAGAGTCTTTCAACAAATCTTGAATGAACAGATTTTGTACAGCTGCGTTACTTTTAGAATAAATTTTGACGGAAAAACAGCATTTAAATGAATATGTTTATTAGCAATTCAACAAAATAGCATTAGGACTACTTATTCAACGAAACATCACTAGGTCTAGCATTTCGACAAAATCTTGACAACATCAATTTTACAGAAAATTTTCAAAACAAACAATAAACTTTTATGAATTTAAACATTGAAAAAGTGTACATTAGAAACTCAATTTTTATCAATTCAAAGAAATTATTTTCAAGATTAGGACCAAGTCTAGAGGGCGGTAATAATGTTAAAAAGGCCTTTGATTTACCAATTCACTCTGTTTCAACAAGCTTTGCTTAATAAATATACTTTTGTGGAGACCTGATGGAACCTTTCTTAGAAAATTACTTCTAACAGAAGAAAAGATATATTCAGTAGAAAAAATAGTAAACAACATATTGTGTACATATGCATACAAAATGAAAAATTGAAAAAAGTCAACTAGAAATTGCGGGCGTCAAAAATCAATTACTTTTTGTTAATGCATAGGATGGATATGGCTCCACTACACCAATGTTTGGCAAAAGTAAAGCAATATTCCTTAATTCCGTTTAAAACTCAGAAAGTATGAAGCAGATATCCGAAGCAATCATGGAGTACTGGCCAACAAAAACAAAGATGCAAATAATTTGGTCAGTGCTTTCAAAAAACTATATAACCATATATACAAGTTGATGTAAAAGTGTAGTTTATGTTTCATTTTTGCAACTGCCTTCGTTTTTGCTTAATTCAATGTCACCTTCTACTTCACAGGTATCATCTGTTTGATTTTTTTAAACGCCTCCTTTTATTAATATTTATTTCTTTTTCGTGCTCGCAGAATTTCCACTTACTTCCATTTAAACAATGAGGTACATATTTTAAACAATATAAAAATATAAATATATATATATATATATATACATATAAATATATAAATATATATATATATATATATATATATATATATATATATATATATATATATATATATATATATATATATATGTATATAAGAACAATATATATATATATATATATATATATATATATATATATATATATATATATATATATATATATATATATATATATATATATATATATATATATATATATATATATATATATATATAAGAACAATTTTTTAGTTTAACTGGTTTATAAAGCTCCTTAACTAATAATGAATAAAAATATAATAAACACAGTTTTATAGCTAAATTTAAAAAGTAATAAATTAAATATAGCTAATAAATAAAAATTTAAAGAAAAAGTTATTGACGAACATCTTTATTGGAAAAAATCGAATTACCTTAATTAAAAACAAAATTTTTAAAACTATAGGCATTATCCATAAAACAGAAAATCTACAAAATAAAAATTTTTTTATTTGATTTATCTTACTCATTCATAGCTACATAAGCTATGGTTTTTTTGATTGGGCAAGTACGTGCCCTTTAGCATTGAGAAAAATATATCAAACAAAAAAAAATCCAGTGGATTTATATATAATGTGCATAAACACGCGCACTCGAAACTGTTAGTTTAGAAAAATGAAATTCGTTAATTTTATAAATGAACGTGTTTTAAAACTTGTTATTCGTGTTTAAACATCAAAATGACATGCTCCAATAATACATCAATAACCGATTTCCAAAAATTAACCGTAAATATTTAACAAGATGCTCTTTCCATATTTTTAGTTTACCCATGTCAACTCTTAAAATATCAAATTATTCAATTTAATATAAAAGACCTCTTCTGTTGAATATAGTTGTTCATAAAATTTGAAAAGTTCAATTTTAATAAACTGTTTTAAAAACATAGTTAAACAGAATTTACTTTAATTAACAAGCATAAACATACTTTTTCATATTAAATAAAAAAAAAAAAATTGTAATAATTTATTAACTTTCAAAATCTTAAGCTAAAAAGTAAGATGATGATGTAAGTATCAATTTTAAAAGTAAAACTGTGTGTAGTAGCTTATGGAACATCATTTTGTAAATTTGTTTATTATGAATTATATAATACAAAGATGTGCTAAACTACATGTCTTTGTTTATAATTAAAAAATATAACTTTTATTTCAACATATTAGCACATTAAAACATTCAACTTTGACCATTTTAGCCATAAACCTTAGTTACTTAATTGCTTGACTGCACAATTTAGTGTAGACTAAACCAAATGTAAATATATTTCATTTTATTCGACATTTAGTCAAATTAGTTTTGCGAACAGATCCCTCTAAAAGATTATTGGTCTAAAAATAATCCCGAGCAATATTGCTAAGCCAAAATTCGAAATTATATATATGCAAGTGCATAGATTTTCAAAACAAATAAAATTTTACGAACCCTTTATAATATCCTTTATATAAGTGTAAGAATAATGCAATCTTATAAAATTATAAGTTGTCTGTGAGGCTGAATACCATTGTAAAGATTAATTCGTTATTTTAAAATTTAAAACATTTTTATCTCGTTAGTTTGTGCTAATTTTTATATAAATGTAGTTGCTTTCAAAATACATTTTGACTGATTTAACTTTGTAGAAAACATCGTTGGCATTATCCCTTCTGAATTAGAAAAAGGAAAACTAATTGCAGAGATACCAAAGTTTAGTAAGGAGTATTTGATTTCCTTTAATGTCTATCCAAGTACGTTTGTTACTGGTCAACATAGTGTTATTCATTTTTCAATTGGTTCTGATTTGGGTCATTACGGTGATCGTGTTCCTGGTATTTGGTTTAACGCTGATGGAAAAGGTGGTCTCTACGTTTCTGCACCAATTAATGGTAATTTTGATAATTTTTTTATTACAAATCCATTTGAATTGAATCAGTGGTCTAACGTTGAAGTTAGTCAAATTTTAAGAAACTCAGTTTATGTATACACAATCAAAATAAATGATGAAATCGTCTTTTCTGAAATAAATAACCAAGTACAAAGTTTTGATAATGTAAAAGTATATGCAGCAGATCCTTGGTATGATGTTCAAAATGGTTTAATAAAAAATTTTTTTGTCGTCAATGGTTTTACAAGTATGCTTTTTTTTGTCTTTTTAACGTTTTCAAATTTTTTTTCAAACCTTTCTTTATATTTTTAACAAACTTAAATACAGTTCTTTTTTCTCAGATGATGGATTGCAGACAGTTATCGTTCTACCTAAAGGTAAAAAAAAATTTTTTTCAATTGTTTTTTATTAAAGAGAGTTATAGGATTAGGTTAATTTCCTTAAAAAAAAATAAAAAATAAAGCACTAAGACTCCTATCACCTGAAATCAGGCAGTTTTTGAAGTCTTTTGTCAATTGCTCTATTTTTCTGCAATAGTATTTTATGTTTTATTGTCACTACCAATTTAATTAACTTAAAAAGTAGTTGTTGCTTACAACCTTTCTGGGAGTGATGTAGCTAAAGTTAAAAAAAAAAAAAAAAATTTAGGTAAGTAGTTTATGTTTTAAGTATATATTTACGTTTAAAAGTTTTTGTTTTATGTTTAGTTTATGTTTAAAATATTTAAATATTTATTACTTTTTTTGATGCATTGTTTACAATAATATAAGATGTTTCTTTAATTTAAACATTAACTTTATTGGACTCAATATATAATTATTTTTGTCAGATTGGGTGTTAAAAGAAATTCAAAAAATTTCATTTGTTATTAAAAGATTTTAAAGTTAAATCACTTTTAAAGACTGTTATAAGTTCAATTTTTACTTTATCTAAAAAAAAACATATTTTATAACAGTAATATTTTATATTCTTAATTCTATATAAAACACAACGTTTAAACTTTTTCTTTTAAGACCAACATTATATACAGTTTTACAAAACTTTTGTTAGTCCTAATAATTTTATTTGTTAAAAAATTTTTTCATTTTTATAAAATTTTTTTTAAAAACACATTTTGTTGTTGGAGCTGACGTTTTAACAAAACAAAGACCCTAACAAAAAAAAAATTTTATTCAGTTTACAAATAACTTGCCCAAACGAGAACTTAATTCTATATAAAACACAACGTTTAAACTTTTTCTTTTAAGACCAACATTATATACAGTTTTACAAAACTTTTGTTAGTCCTAATAATTTTATTTGTTAAAAAATTTTTTCATTTTTATAAAATTTTTTTTAAAAACACATTTTGTTGTTGGAGCTGACGTTTTAACAAAACAAAGACCCTAACAAAAAAAAAATTTTATTCAGTTTACAAATAACTTGCCCAAACGAAAACTTAATTCTATATAAAACACAACGTTTAAACTTTTTCTTTTAAGACCAACATTATATACAGTTTTACAAAACTTTTGTTAGTCCTAATAATTTTATTTGTTAAAAAATTTTTTCATTTTTATAAAATTTTTTTTAAAAACACATTTTGTTGTTGGAGCTGACGTTTTAACAAAACAAAGACCCTAACAAAAAAAAAATTTTATTCAGTTTACAAATAACTTGCCCAAACGAGAACTTTTAGCCTTCTTTCTCAAAGTTAGAGTTAAATAAGCTTTTTGATTGCAATTATATTGAAAATTGGCAAATTTGGCTCATTTATATTTGATTTGTATTTGATATTAAATTTTCCTCAGTGTTTATATTTGTATTGAATTGAAATGTATTTGAAGTTCAATAAACTAAATTAACTAGTGTTTTTATTTAAATAAATTCGTTGTTATTTGTTTTCATTTTGACACTAAAAATAAATTAATGTTTGGTTTTTGAAAAGTAATATGTACAAAAAATGGTTTTCATGCTGGTAAGTCTGGTAGTCTGTTCAAACTGGTAGTCAGTTCACCATTTTATCAGTTACTTCGTGAAAAAATATTTTTCTTTTTTCATAAGCTAAATTACAAATATTTTTATTTGTATTTGAAAATTATTTATTACATTAATTTTAATTTGAATTTGTATTTGGATTTCTAAAATTATATACTGCGATCCAAAATGTGAGCAAGTCATTAAGGATTGGAGTTACGCTGATAAAAATAAACCAATTTTTGTAATTTTTTTTGATTTTGCAACATTATTTAGTTTTGGTCAACATGAAAAGTTTCTAATAAAAAATTTGAATGTTCTATCTAGTTGGCTTACATTTTGGATAGCAGCTTACTTATCTAATCTTTGCCATAGAGGAAAAACAAGTAATCACACCGTTTTCTGTAAAAGTATACAAAATGAAGTACTTTATGGTAGTGTTCTCTGCCCAATTTTTTACTTTTTTTTTATTTCCAACATAAACTACCTTCCACCTTAAACCATTCTCAAAAAACATGCTGAAAGCTGACCTACAATATCTACGATAAAGTTCCTGCTAATTTACCTTAATTCGTTGGTAATGGTGTCGTACATTGGTCTGTGAAAAGGGATGTCGAGTTTCACTCCAATGGAGTGAAACTCGACATCCCTTATTATAATGTCTTTATATTCAATGTAACAATCATGCTCTACCATGTCCCGTACGTAATAAAACTGAGCTTGAAATTGTATACAGCTACAAATACCTTGGAAACCTGCTAAAAAAGAATCTTGATTGAGAGGAACAATTGCTAAAAGTTTAAAGCACTATAAAATTAGTACCATCTCATTTCAAGCGCCTAAAGTATATTGGACACACTCGGCCCAAGTCTACTAGTTAATTAGCCACATGATATATAGTCCCCCTGCTCTTAAAAAGAAAACTCATCTTATCACAAAAATGCCTTACAAATTGAATTTAAAGCAACCAATTTAAATTGTTTCAACATTTTTTTTGATATTGAAAAATTACTAGACAAAACCTGTGAATATTCTTAAGAAAACCATGCTGACACACTATTCTATATCCACTATATTACCTACCACCATGCAGAAAGCCTAACAGATTTCACCTATTTTTGATAGCCTTCCAGATACCACCTGGAAGTAAAAGAAACATGACTCTGAGTTACACATGGTGATCATCATATAATTTAATTAATCTTAACGACAAAAATAAATTAATTACAAAAATATTCAGAGCAATATTATTTAATCTTAGTTGGCCTAACTCAGGTTTGCCACGAAACAAGCAAAAACCAAAATAGTGAATATAAATATTTTAGAAATATTTATTTTTATTGCACATATTATAATTATACTTTTAACAAGGAAAGTTGAATCTTTTATATTTTTTAAATTTGAAAATGAAATCATTTATAGAAAAAAAAATCTATAATTTTCAAGTTTGTGATTTTTATACTATTTATACGCAAATACTTTTTATATATATATAGCTCGTAACGTCACGCCTCTTTTTTTTATTGAGTAAAACAGCCCTACTTACGTTAAGCGCAAAAGTAAGATTAAACCATAAAATAATACGTGTTTTTGATTTTGTTGCGGTAAAATTTAGTTTATAATAATAGAATGTTTCTAAATAACCATTAGACGCCAGGGCACTGTTATAAAAAGATGCAACTTTGTCAAAAACGTCTTTGTTTAAATAGAATATTGGTAATTTGTTTGCATAACATCGTTAGTGTTTGATAATATTAGGATGGTGATTAGAGCAAACGTTAATGTACAGTGGATGGTCACCTGGTTTTCTGCATGGTCGGCAGAAGCAATCTGATAAACTAAACGTATTATCTAAAAACATTTCAATCTTAAATTTTGATTTTACTGTTAATTCTAGATAGAACCTGTCATTAAAAATGATTTTTTTTTTCTAGTTTGGACCACTGACTTTAAGAAAGCAGAACAAACCATACAGTCTCCAAACAATCTATTAGATTGCAATGCATATATGTTGTTTATAGTATGCAGGATATAAAGACCGACAAGCTCGAAAAGCTAGGCCCTATCAAAACCTTCAATAACACATTTCGCTTAACCTACAGGTTGTTGTGATCAGTAAAATCCAAAGATTTGCTAGAGTGATTTTTAATGCCAAATGTTTTGTCTGATACTCTTGCGTAATGCATTTGTATTTTATTCACAAAGGTTATATACAATTTGAAATGGAAACAAAGTTACACATTTTCCTATTTTATGCTTATCCAATTTAAGTAGTTAAATTGGATTAGAATGTGCTGACAGATATTCTTAAGGTTACAACAAAAAGTGAAAAAATTCTCTATTATTTTGTGCGCTTAGAGCATTCGTTTTAACTGCTTTAACGTTGCTACGCCAATGATATAAACATGTACCTTTATTTTTCTGACAACTTTAAAACATTTTCACAATGCTATTTTTTTCAAAAATTGCTGATATTTATGATGCTGTTGGGGTATATAGTATAAAGCCAATTTGAACAAAAAAATCAGCTTGGGCTTCATTAGTTTGCATTTAAAGTCTTAGTTTTTTTTCGCTTTATTAATGCGTATTTTTTATATTACAAAGTCTAAGTAAATGAGTACATTCCTTATTTTTTTGTTATATTAAAAATTCTTTATAAATTTTCTGTATTATAAAAATGCCTAAGATTTTTCCGATAAGTATAAAATTTAGGACCTTGTTACTTGTTTTTTTAATTTTAAACCTATTGCATGATATGGTTAACTTCATTATCAATTTTATCCAACCTGTCTCCAAGTTAGACCCACACCTTTAAAGTTATTAGAGGAGAGGGTGCTTTTTTTACAAAATATATTTGTTTTTGTATAAACTGAGTTATTCTTTTACAAACTAGAAATAATAAAATTACAAAAATAGATTAAAATCAGTTGAAAAGTTTATCTTGTCAGGCAAAAAAATAGGAAATAAAAAAAGAATAGATTAAAAAGATAGGCAATATTTATAAAAAATAGCAGTTAAACAAAAAGTGTCAATTCTACTTTGTTATCCTTTTTATTTATATCAGGTTTTAACCAATCAATAAACATATCTTCTTTAGATTTTAGATCAAACTTGTTAAATGCCTACCCTATCACAGAAAAACATTTATCATTTAATTACATGAAACAATTTTCATTAGCATGGAGACATTTATAGATGAGACTTTTTGCTCTTTTTTGAATGTTTTGATATCTCGCTTTTGAAATGGCGAGTGGTTTTGCGTATATAACAGAAGTGACATAAATTTATATATATTTATATTTAGTTGAACATCAAAATCTTTTTTTCAATGTTATTGTTTCTAGCTAAATTTTTTTGACTCTGCTGTTGAAGTCGTTTTTATTGATGAAGTAGATGTGAGTAATAGATTTAGATTGGTTGAAGTGCATTACTTTACATTTTTTGATGTTAAATTGCATAAGCCATAATTGGGTCAAATTGACAATATTATCAATGTAAGCTTGCAGACCATGTTTGCTTTCTAAAGTGTTAACTAAACTGAAAACTTTTTGTCATCTGCATAGATTTTCCATTTTTATTCTGTTGCTAACGTGTTCTAGCCATTAATATAGACTATAAGTCGTTAATATAGACTAAAAATAATGTTGGACAAAGAAACGAGCTCTGAGGAACATCAATAGTAACCTGTTTCCAATCATATTCAACATTTCCAAGGAGAACACTCTATGTTTTGTTAGAACGAAAGGCATAAATCCAATTGAAAACAAATCCACTAATTCAATAATATTCATGAATTTTTAGTAGAAAGATTTTATTTTAAGATAAATTTATTATTTTTAATAAAACTTTTATAACTATTAAACAATTTTTGTTAACTACAGCTTCACTGTAAGCGAATTTAAGAATATATATATTATATATATAGGTATATATATATATAGGTATATATATATATATATATATATATATATATATATATATATATATATATATATATATATATATATATATATATATATATATATATATATATATATATATATATATATATATATATATATATATGGCAATTGCAACAAAACACTTAACTTTACCCTGTGCTTTCTCATGTAACAAACTACATAATTTATGGTTAGCTCTAAAACTAGCATAGTTTTACTGTGAATAAAAGAAACATTGTACCATCAGAAACAACTTACACCTCTCAGAGGGAATAATTATAAAGAAAAATAATACAGTGATACCAACTGCTATGAGACCCTTTATGTTAAGACAGCTCAACTTAAGGGGTCTTACCACACCTCGGAACCAAAAATAAGAAAGTTCAAGCTAGAAACGCTGTTTACTAACAAGGACTTGCAAGTGACATTGATAAACTGGTACTTTATTGCCTAAAATGCCTGAAATACGGCAATAACAATTAAAAGGAAAAAATAATTTAGCACGACATTCCTATTTTACTGTAAATAAAGTAGGGTTCAAGATATATGAGTTCCATAAAAAGATATATATAATCGTTATAAATTATTTTTTAAATTTATTGAGAACAGTGTAGTTTATGACAAAACGACATTTTCTACAATAAAATAAACAAAAACCATTTTTACTCTTAAAAAATTTCCTTTAAATCTCATTGCTAATAACAATCCTTACAATAGTGCGGAGTTCTTTAATTTCTTAAAATAATATGGGTTCAATTTTACTCTATTGAGCCTAAAATACCCACAATTAAACGACCTTAGTAAAACGGGTGTGAAAATTATGAAAAAAATACTAAACAATGTGATAACCCAAAGCTTGGTCTTCTAGAATACCAAACTATTCTCTCACAGGTTTGGACTAATTTCTGGCCCATCTTCTCATGAGCAGAAGAACGCAAACAATTCTTCCTGTCCACCATGGCTCACTTATACTAGCAGTTTCTTTAAATGCTTACAGCCAGATAAACAAGTCAGGAATTCGTTAAATACAATAATATCATCGGAACGCATCTGAACTCTTTAAACCTTGTAGGAAACGATACTGCCCGGATGAGGAAATAAGGAACATGGAAAAAAGTGACAGGTTTTTTTTTTCCTCTTTTTTTAGTTTATATTATTTACATGTCGTGTTTTACATGTAATATAATATATAATCTTGAAATCTGGAAAAAGATAAAATTGATCTTGTCGCCAGAAACATATAAAAATTACAATTTAAATTTAATATAAAAATATACAGAAAGTTTATAACAAAAATAGAACCCAAAATATTTGAAATAAGAAATAGTTAAAGTAATATCTCAAAAATGTTTCAATATATTATCCCTTAAGAAAATAATATTCCTTAACTTTTTTTAAAAAACAGAAAAAGAGATTGATATACAATTTTATTCCAGCTATAATGTGCTTGACAATCTATAAAAAGTTGATTAAACTATGTTTGACAAAAGAGTTCTTTTAAATAATTATTATTTCGCAATCTATATTTATTATTTACAAAGGTAAAATTTTCTTTAAAAACATGAAATATAGGGTATTCATGCAACAAAACGTAAAACAAAAATTATTATTGAAATTAAATTCATAAAAGTTTAATACATTAATATCTTTATATAAAGGTTTTGTATTTGAAAAACCGTTATCGGCGTAATACATTCATGCCTTGAGTTATTATGAATACTTTTAATAAATACGGCGGTCAGCACGTCATAAAATTTATTGCATTTACTTCTTAATGTGACATAATCTTCCAAATATGACAATATTAGTCCATCATCGGAAAAAAAATCTATTATAAAAAAATGTTTACAAAATAGTTTTAGTAAAGTTTTGCAAAACAGTTTTAGTAAAGTTTTGTTAAAAAACTTTAACACTTTTAAATTATTGTTAATCTTTAATATAATGCGTTATATTTCAACACTAATATTTATATTATGTTATTAGTTATATTGTAACTAACGTATTTAAAATTCTTGTTATGTACATTGCTACTTTTTATTTTTTATATTAACTTACGATTTTTTCATGTTACATTTATGATGGGGCTTGATGATAAGACAATTTATGTCTTCTGCTTGCTCCAGTTCTCTTATTAACACGATTTATTTCATTGTAAATTTTAATATATGACAAAACTCTTTGCTTAAAAAAAAAAAACCCTTATCATAAACTAATTTAGAAAAGTCATGCATTTCATATCTAGAAGCTTTTCTTTGGAACAAATTAGTTTTAAAAAACTTTGATTTTTCCTATGAATGGAATTATCTTTCATTCAAGAAAAAACTAAAAACAAAAATTGTTTTAATTTTTGAAGATATGTTTTTATATTTTTATATTTTTCTAAAAATGAATATTAAGTTTTTTACATAAAGTAATATATAAATAATATATCTAATCCACAACTTATGTTTTAATGAAAACAGTACTTTTTAAAATGTTTTTGTATTTATATATAACAATATCAAAAATTTCTTTATTCCAATTTTATTTATATATTATTACGAAATTTACGTTCTCGCTAGTTATTACTAATTTTTACTACGACATTGTTTTATTTTTTTGATTTTTATACTTCATGTTAATTTAATGTACTTAATATTTACGAGCGGTTCTCGATGATAAAACCTGACGTCTTCCGCGAGTCTTTTTTTGTATATATATATTTTTTTGTATAAGAATTTTTATCTCAACTATCTTATTGTATAAACTATATTGAATATTCAAAAAATTTATTATTATTTTTTGTTTAGAAAATATTATCCATAATAACCAGTTACACTTAAATAAAAGCACTTTTATTGGATCACTTTATGTTTTGAAGAAGGAGTTCACTGTCTCATTTAATGTGTTTCCTAAAGTTTACATTGATGCGAGGAAAGATGTTATTTCTTTAAGAATGAATGAAATTTCAGTTTATTATAACAAAATTCTAAATGTTCGGTTTTTGTGGTCAGGAAAACTTGTAATTGTAGCTCAATTGAGTAATAAAAAATTTGAAAGTGTTATAACACCTACCCTTCCTTTAAATCAATGGTCTAATGTTAAAATATGTCAAACTATGCGTGAAAATAAGTATTGGTTTTCTGTTTATCTTAATGGAGTCAATGTTAAAGATATTGAAAATACTTTTGCTAGAGAATATAAAAACATAATGGTATATGCTTCTGATTCTGAATATTTGGCCGAAAATGTTCTAATCTCAAATATTCTCACTATTAATGGAAATGCTGGTATATTATTTAATCTTTTTTAGGCATTTTGATTAGTTTTTTTTCAAATTACTATAATAAAGTGTTTTTTTGAAGTTGAAGAATGACTTCAAACATTAAAAACAAATTTATCTTACTAAATTAAGTTAAGTTTTATTTAAATGTAACACAAAATAAAATACACTTTGCCTAATTTACTTTTTTAGATACTTTTGTTGGCAGTATTCCTATTGAATTAGTAAAAGGAAAATTAATTGCAGAGATACCAAAGCTTGATAAAAAGTTTTGGGTTTCATTTGATGTCTATCCAAGAGAATTTGTTGTTGGCTGGCATAGTGTTATTCATTTTACTATTGGTTCTAATTCGGCTCATTATGGTGATCGTGTTCCAGGTATTTGGTTTAATGCTGATGGAAAAGGTGGTCTTCATGTTTCAGCACCCATTAATGGGAACTTGAACAGATTTTTTAACACTAACCCAATTGGACTAAATCAGTGGTCTAACATTGAAGTTAGTCAAGTGTTACGAAACTCAGAATATGTATACACAATCAGAATAAATAAAGAAATTGTCTTTTCTGAAATAAATAACCAAGTTCAAAGTTTTGATAATGTAAAAGTATATGCAGCCGATCCTTGGCATGATGTTCAAAATGGTTTAATAAAAGAATTTTTTGTTGTGAATGGTATTACAAGTATGTTTTTAAGTTTTTAATATTGCTTTCTGTTAAGACCATTTTTCTATATTTTCAATAAAATTAAATACTGTTCATTTTTCTCAGATGATGGATTGCAGTCAGATAATGTTTCACCTGGAGGTATTTCAAAATATTTTCAGTTCTTTTTATGAAAGCTATATTGTGTCTTTTGATAAGGTTTCTTTTCTTAAAACAAATGCAATAGAACTAACTTCAATAATCATATCCGAAATCACAATGTTTACAGTTTCTTTAGTATTTTTTCAATTTTCTTGAGCTGAAAGTTTTATATGTATTTATATTTACATATAAAATTGTTTTTGCAATTGGAAAATACTAATGTCATAACTTTTTAGTTGATTATATATTTGGAAATCTAGAGTTAATGTATTTGCATTTAAATTGGTAAATTATAATTAACCCCAACCAACCAATGGTCTATGTAGCATTACTCCTTGCAAGTTCTACTTGATCAGTGGTTCTCAACCTTTTCTAACCCGTTCCCCAAATTAAATATCCTAAAACAGTGGTTCCCAACCGGTGGTCCATGGACCCCTGGGGGTCCATAAGAACTTTTTAAGCGGACCACAAGATAAACGTAAATTCTAAAGATTTTTTGGTAGTGAAACTAAATTTTGATTATTTTTTTCTGTTGAAAGAAACAAATTAAATTTTAAATTAAAAATGTAATTTATGCGAGAAAGCTGTTACACAAAATTTGCGTTAACTAATTCGACGAGGACTTGCGGACCTCTACGAAGTAATAAATGCTATATAATATCATTTTTTATCCGTAAATTTAAAATGTTAAAATCTTATCTCATGGTAAAGATAACCTTACTGATTTGTTTGAAAGAACGTAATTTGTGTTATTTTCTATAAAAATTCGATACTATACTACTCTTATCTATAGATGCTTTTTATATTATTTTTTAAATACTTTATATGTCTAAAAGTAAAAAAATGTCATACTTAGATGAATACATGAGATATGGATTTACCTACATGCTTAAAGAAACCATTAGCTACCCACAGTGTGTTATTTGTTATAAAGTACTAGGAAATGACTCTATGAAACCTTCAAAGCTTGCTATTCACTTGAATAAGTGCCATCCTGATCTCCAAACAAAAGATACTGATTTTTTCAAAAGAAAATTTGAATCACTGAAGAGATGCAAATTGGATAAAACTGGAATTATTTACCAAACTCAACAGAATATAGTAAAAGCATCCTATAAGGTTTCATATATAATAGCACAGAACAAAAAAGCTCACACATTGGCTGAAGAAGTTATACTTCCATGTACAAAAGAAATCGTTAGATTACTATTTGGAGAAGAAGCTGCAAAGAAGGTAGATAATATATCTTTATCAAATACTACAGTCAAACGAAGGCTAACGGATATTTCATCAAACATTAAAGAAAATGTTATTAATGAAATTAATGATTCCCCATATTTTTCTGTTCAGTTGGATGAGTCCACAGATGTAAGTTCAATGGCACAACTAATTGTATATTGTAGGTATATTCACAATAACAAATTTAAAGAAGAATTTTTGTTTTCTTTTTGCCTTGAAACAACAACAAAAGCAGCTAATATTATGGAAATTTTAAAACAGTTTTTCAATGACAATCAATTACAATGGAAATATTTGTTTGGAATTACTACTGATGGAGCTCCTGCCATGATGGGTTGTAAGTCTGGATTACAGACTAGGGTGAAAGAGATTGCTCTAAATGTAGTTGGTGTACACTGTTTTATTCATAGACAGGCTTTGGCAACCAAAACTTTACCAGGTAGTTTGAAAACTGTATTTAATCAATTAGTCAAGTTGGTCAATTATATAAAATCTTCTGCTCTTAACACTCGCCTTTTTACAAAATGTTGCTCTGACCTAAATGCTGAACACAATAAGTTATTGTTTTATACTTCTGTGCGATGGCTGTCTGCTGGAAATTTTTTGGAAAGATTTTTCATGCTTAGAAATGAAGTGAAAGAATTTTTATGTCAAATGAAAAGTGGACTGGTAGAATATTTTGAATTTGATAATTTTGAAATAACAACTGCTTATCTTGTGGACATCGTAGGTCATTTTAACAAGTTAAATTTGCAACTTCAAGGCAAAAATGCTAATGTTATTACACATTCAGATAAACTGAAGGCATTTATTGAAAAGATCAAACTGTACAAGACTAGAATTAATAATGGAAACTTGATCATGTTTCAAAATTTAAATAACATAATTGGAGTTAACATGCTTCCTGAAGTTATAAAGACAGAAATAGTTTGTCACCTAGATAATTTGATTACTGAATTTGGTAACTATTTTCCAGATATGAATCTTTTGAGCAGTGAAGTTATTATATCACCATTTTCTTGTGATGTGAAAAATGTGAAAGAGGAAGCACAAGAAGAGTTTATAGAGTTAAAGAATGATACCACGGCTAAGGATCACTTCAAAGTAGCACCATTAAATAACTTCTGGTTAAAAATGAGGAATTCATATCCATTGTGTTCATCAATTGCACTTAAAGCCCTTATTCCTTTTTCAACATCATATTTGTGTGAAGCCGGCTTTTCAGCAATGCTATCTCTTAAAACAAAAAAAAGAAATAGACTTGATATTGATGCAGATATTAGATGTGCTCTATCAAAAACTAAACCAATTTTTCAGATATTAATTGCTAGTAAGCAGTGTCAAAATTCACACTGATCTGTTCTTGTATCATACATACACTAAGATAAAAAATTTTTGTGTCATTGATAAATATTGATTTTGTGTCTAGTCTATTCAAAAATACCTTAAATAAAATATTATCCTTATGAATAAAAGTTACATTATTAAAATGTTCACCTTGTAATAATTTTTAAAATCAAAGGGGTCCATGAAGATTTTAGGACCTAAAAGTGTGAGTGTTAAGAGCAGAAGATTTTATATAATTGACCAACTTGACTAATTGATTAAATACAGTTTTCAAACTACCTGGTAAAGTTTTGGTTGCCAAAGCCTGTCTATGAATAAAACAGTGTACACCAACTACATTTAGAGCAATCTCTTTCACCCTAGTCTGTAATCCAGACTTACAACCCATCATGGCAGGAGCTCCATCAGTAGTAATTCCAAACAAATATTTCCATTGTAATTGATTGTCATTGAAAAACTGTTTTAAAATTTCCATAATATTAGCTGCTTTTGTTGTTGTTTCAAGGCAAAAAGAAAACAAAAATTCTTCTTTAAATTTGTTATTGTGAATATACCTACAATATACAATTAGTTGTGCCATTGAACTTACATCTGTGGACTCATCCAACTGAACAGAAAAATATGGGGAATCATTAATTTCATTAATAACATTTTCTTTAATGTTTGATGAAATATCCGTTAGCCTTCGTTTGACTGTAGTATTTGATAAAGATATATTATCTACCTTCTTTGCAGCTTCTTCTCCAAATAGTAATCTAACGATTTCTTTTGTACATGGAAGTATAACTTCTTCAGCCAATGTGTGAGCTTTTTTGTTCTGTGCTATTATATATGAAACCTTATAGGATGCTTTTACTATATTCTGTTGAGTTTGGTAAATAATTCCAGTTTTATCCAATTTGCATCTCTTCAGTGATTCAAATTTTCTTTTGAAAAAATCAGTATCTTTTGTTTGGAGATCAGGATGGCACTTATTCAAGTGAATAGCAAGCTTTGAAGGTTTCATAGAGTCATTTCCTAGTACTTTATAACAAATAACACACTGTGGGTAGCTAATGGTTTCTTTAAGCATGTAGGTAAATCCATATCTCATGTATTCATCTAAGTATGACATTTTTTTACTTTTAGACATATAAAGTATTTAAAAAATAATATAAAAAGCATCTATAGATAAGAGTAGTATAGTATCGAATTTTTATAGAAAATAACACAAATTACGTTCTTTCAAACAAATCAGTAAGGTTATCTTTACCATGAGATAAGATTTTAACATTTTAAATTTACGGATAAAAAATGATATTATATAGCATTTATTACTTCGTAGAGGTCCGCAAGTCCTCGTCGAATTAGTTAACGCAAATTTTGTGTAACAGCTTTCTCGCATAAATTACATTTTTAATTTAAAATTTAATTTGTTTCTTTCAACAGAAAAAAATAATCAAAATTTAGTTTCACTACCAAAAAATCTTTAGAATTTACGTTTATCTTGTGGTCCGCTTAAAAAGTTCTTATGGACCCCCAGGGGTCCATGGACCACCGGTTGGGAACCACTGTACTTGATATATATATATATATATATATATATTTATATATATATATATATATATATATATATTTATATATATATATATATATATATATATATATATATATATATATATATATACATATATATATATATATATATATATATATATATATATATATATATATATATATATATATATATATATATATATATATATATATATATATATATATATATATATATATATATATATATATATATATATATATATATATATATATATGTATATATATTTTCTTTTTTCGTATTTTGAATTACTTTTGTATTTTTTTTAAATTTTTTTTTTCTATTTATATGCGCATAATAGCTATTTATCGGGGGTTCACAGTACAGATTAACTAAGGCTTTAAGTTTGGTCAGCCGGTATCAAAGACATGGTTTCTACCAACAGAAATATTTTTTTTTGTTTTAAAAATTTTGTTATCAAAAAAATAACTGAACATATTAGTGCTAAGCAATTAAATAAAATCTTCACATAAAAAGTGTGGTTGATTGTTTATTAATAAAATTTGTAGAGGATTTATTACAAACATTGATTGAAGGTTGTTTGCTTGCATTATTTACATTTAATAACTATTTTAATACATATAGTATTATATTTAAAACAAAAGCTTTGTTTTTAAAACCTTGTTTTTGATTTAGTACTTATTAATTTAATGTCAGAAGTAATTTTAAGCCAAACATAGTTGCTATTTTGTAGATAAGTGACATTTATATACCATGCGATGTAATATTTTTCTCTGGAAGACAAAACTGCATACAATTAATTTTTGAAAACGCTTTTTTTGATTGTTTTTTTTAAAGATTCAAACGGTTTTTTTAAAAACTCTTCGATTTTACAATTAATATGGTTGCTTTGAAAATATCTTATGATATATCATTTCAAAAAATTTAATTTAAGCATAAAGCCAAATTAATTAAAGAAGCTTTACTAAAAAATCAGCTGTATCAATCCAATTATCATTTGTATCAATCCTATTATCAGCTGTATCAATCCTATAATCAAACTAATACGAAACTAAATACGAAACAAATGTTTCGCATTCGATATAAATTTTGAGGAAACTCTGGATCTTTAATTATAAAAGCTAGAAATGTACAAGAAAAATGTAACAGAGGCATAAATGTACTAATTTTTCCATTTGATGCTAATAGTGATGGCTGGAAAAAAATGGTTGATGGGTATCTTTGATCAATTTTTGTGTTGTCTGTGTAAACTACAGATGAGGCTCCAAAAACTTATTAAACCATTTCAATTTTACTTCATAAATTTTCTCTCACATAACTATAATTGAATCGTGCGTTTATTTAAATAACTTAAAGCAATTCTAAGAAGTTTATAATTATTTAGACCGGAAAAGTGACCTTGAATACATCTAGTAGTATTGTTTCTGACTACTTTTAACAGAATCATTTTTAAAAAAGAATGAGTTTTTGTATTCCTTAAACACATTCTTAAAAACATCTTTGAATGTAATTTTGGTTACATCCTTTAATACATCAAGCAGTATTATTTTTGCAAAAGTGCATTATTTGCGAAACATTTAAAAACTTAACTTTATCTAGTAACACTCAACAAAATGAAGAAAAATTGTTTGTAATATCTCTAATATAAAAAGTGCTACTTTTACTGATATTGAGTTGGCTCATTATAATATTGTATAGGTGTAGAATCAGAACAAGCTTGTATTAGTTTGAAATTAGCAACATAAGTTTATAATCTTAACCAAAAACTTTTTATTTTGACTGAAACAAACATTTCCAATGTTCAATCGCAAAATATAACATTTATCTTCAGTTGTGACAAATGCAAACTCAACTGCTATATTTTAAAAGCCATAAACTATATCATAAAAAAAATAGAAAGTAAATACAAAAGGCATAAAAGAGCAAGTAAAGTAGCAAATTAAAAAGCCATAAGAGCAAAAAAAAACTCAAAAGTTGAGAAAAATAAACTTTCAAAAAAACAATTGCCTGCAAAAAAAGAGTGAAAATCTAAAGGGTATGTGCTAAATTACATAAATGCATTAACGTTTGTATTTGTAGTCCTTCATTTTGAATTTATTTGTTCATAAAAGTTTACAAATGTGTTAATATTTTTTTTTAAACAGTTACAACTATGAGTGCCTAATAAACAATTGTAACCTAGTCTATGAGCAATTCTATTTTTATTTTATTATTTTATAAAGATCGTCCAAGAAGTACGCCATGCGGTAGAGGAAACCACGTATTGTCAATTTTGTGACATCTTTATACAGGGAAAAAAGAAAACGCCTTTTCAACTTTGCTCTTTGATGAATATTTCAAAAAAAGAACAACATAAAACACGAGTCAATAATTTAAAATAAATCAAATTAAAATAACAAAGTGGCCAGCTAATCTCAATTTAACTAAAGTTTTATAGTTGCAATTCGAACTTTCCTTAAAACACTAAGAATCCTTAAAAAAAACTAATGAGATATCTAAAGCTATTTTCAATAATAAGCTATTTGAAGCCACCTGGAATGCGATTACAAAACTAATAAACTTAATGAGTCATTTCAAAAGATATTTCATCATCCGAGAAGATATTTCATATTCAAAGAAAATATTTCATTGTCTTAAAAAATTATTAGTTATTCTCATTTGTCACTTTTGATTAAATCAATTTTTTATTGAATTTGTATGCTAATTTAAGTATATGCCAAGAAAATATTTTATCACCCAAAAAAGTTTAGGAAACGATTTTACTTTTTGCCATCAAATGCGTTTAATATGTTTTTCATGTAATTAAAAAAAAAAAAGCTAATAGTTTTCTTAAAAGTAATAATTTAATGTGGCTTAGGATTCATACATGACTAGAAATAAAGACTTTAAAAATAATATGAAAAAAATAATAACTAAATTTTATATGTATTAAAATGTAGTTTTAGGTACAAATAAAAAAGTTTTAGACAATTTTTACTATCTGTTTGAACTTATTTTTTATTTACATATGAGTGAGATTAAATCTTGTTAGTTAATATATACGCTCAAGTAGATTATTTTAAATAGAAAAGTATAAAACTATAGTGTTTTTTTGAATGTGATTTGTTGCTACTCCCTAAATTCTGACCTGAACCTGGATTCAGAGATCAATCCTAACTGTAATTGTAAAACTTGTAATTAAAATAATGTTTCAACATATCATAATTTCCGGGCCGTATTGAGAAGACCAGTAATGTTTTCTTTTCGCCCCAGCTATGAACTTAATATATTTATTAGGCAACCATCATAAAGTGATTAGAGCATGAAACTTGTAGTACAAAGGTTGCATGTTCGAATCTAACTAGAAGTATATACTTTATGGGTTAGGCTTAAAATGGGAAACCAACTTATCAAATGAATATCACGTTGTGGCAGTGGTTGTGTAAGATCATTAGGTCTTGTCACACATAAGACCATTAGAATAGTCTCAAATAAAAATAACAAATATTCAGTAAATATTAACTACTATTTTTCTCGGGATCAACCAATGGTTACAATACAGAAAAATAGTGAAATTATTTAGTTTTCGTATAAAATAGTTTCGTTAATAACAATACACAGAGGTATTGTTTTTAAGTTATACCACTAATAAACAAAGATAATATCAACAATTGCAATAGTAATATAACAAAAACAGCAATAATAATAATAACAGTGTGAATAAAAAACATTACAAACAGTAACTATACCATGATAATTTTATTAAAGATTATAACTGATGATAAAAACTAATGGTAAAAATATTCATAGTAAATGGTAAAAAAACTAATGGTAAAAATATTCATAGTATGACAGAAATTAATACAATAAATATAATAATTGCAAAAATTAGGATAACAATCATAAAACTATAACTACATTTGAATCACTATCATTATAAGTAGCATTAATACGATTTCTAAAACAAAGGTAAATTAATGACAATATTAATAATAGTTAGGTTAAAAAAGGTTAAAATAAAAGTAATAATAGTTTATAAATTCAGTATTATATAAAAATCTACTAATATATAAAAAAAACAATAATAAAAGATAAAATTTATATTTCATTAAATATATACTCATTCAGTGAATATATACTCAAATAAAACTTTTGTTAAAAGGGTATTTTTTTATAAATAATATTATTTCGTTTCAGTGAGAAATACATTATTGTTTTATAGAAAACTTGCCATATTTGTTTTATAGAAAACTTGCCATATTTGATAGTGTTAAAAAAGGAAGTGGCCAAGTTAATATTTTTAGTATTTCAAATGTAATATTTGTTGACGGTTACTATTACAATCACACCACGATTCATTTCAGTAAAGCTAATAATTGCATAGAAAATAGAGTGTTTTTAACTAAATCTTATCGTGCGGGCGTAGAGCCGCTTAGAATCATCAGGAAAGTAGTAGATACGAGAATACATTAATTTTTCAATATTTTTGCTGATATTTAATAATAATAATATTGGTCTATAGTTATTTTAGTCATGTTTTTTCTGTATATGGACTGGTTTAACAAATGCAGTTTTTAAAACATAAGGGAATATACTAGTAGCTAATGAGAGAATAAATAGTTTATAAAATACTGAAGAAATATCATAAACGAGAATTTTTTAAATAAATATTGGAATACTGTTTTGACCAGAAGTCTTGCTATCATTTAGAGAACGAATAACTGATATTATTTCATTTTTTTCCAGTAGATTTAATAAAAAAAAGAAAGGTTTTGATTTTTTTATAATATATTAAATGAAGCATATAAAAAAAAAAAAAAACATTTAAAGTAAAATACAATACTTTAACAAATTAAATTATACAATATAATTAAAAAAAAAGATCTCAATTAAAATTAAAACGCTTAATATAAAAAACCATATTTGTCGAAAACAACAAAAAAGAGAAACTAAAGTTTTACGGAATATAACTAAGATTTTAATGCGTCAAGTCACAACTAATGAAAAAAATTTTTTTTTTTACTTGGTGTGAAAACCTGCAAAAAATGACTTTTTTACATTTATAAACGTCACATCTATATAGGTAAAACACATTTATTTTTTCAACATTTTGTTAATTGATTTACTTTATTTGTAGGCAAAGCTTGAAAAAAGCGAGTTGATGATGTGAAAAAATATGAAACAAGCTCAAGTAAAATTATTTGGTGATAAAATCTACATTTATATGTAAATTTGTATGATTGTAATAGTATTGTTTAATGATAAATAAATTTTGTTTTACATTCTTTTAGTTTATTAGATTATTAAAAGAATAATTTATTATTTATTACCACGGTTATAGTTGATCTACCAAGTTGATTTTACTTGTACTTTAATAGTATTGCAACTTAAAAGTATCATTTGATTTTTAAACAAAAGCAGAAACCACATTTAAAACACTGTACAGTAGCCAGTTTACAACTTTGGTTTTAATTTTATTTCACTTTGTTTTAATCAGTTTAAAAAAAGCTTATAAACACCAAATATTATATTTGTTTTAAAAACTTTTATAAATACCAAAAAAAGGAATCAGAGGTTAGGATTTAGCTGAAACCCTTGGCATTTTTGAAAAGTCTGTACTGTTTTCTGAAATATTACAAATTATCCTAATACTTACAATATGGAAAAAAAAACCCTTTTTCTATGTCTTGATAATGTAATAAATTGTATTGTTCTACCGCTTAGTTGTTTTTTTTTTTTGTAGGGAAAGAGAGATGGCAAAAAAAATTTTAAAAATTTAGCGTATACGATAAGTCTACATCATACATCAATGTAGTATATTTCTTTATTGTATCTGGTCATAAAATAAAAATGTGTTCATCATTTTTATAAATCTATCTACAAATATTAAAGAATTTGAAGAGATTACTAAAGTTTAAAAAAAGTTGAACACATTTGTTCTTGTAGTATAGCATTGCAGATAATCCATATTTATCTAATTTATTAACTTTTTTTTTTACACCTAGCAAACATTGTTTTAAGGGATTTGTAGTGGAAATGGCCTAAATATTTTTTTCGGTTCATTAGAGTTTAGCTCATTGGTAACTTAGAGGAACATAAGTAGCAGCTGCTTTAAATGATTAGCCGAAAACATTCCGAGATTTTAATAGTGTCTAGTCATCAACGAACTGATTTTAGCAACTGCCACTTAGGCTCCACTTTGGAATTGATGATTAAAACAACAATAAAGAATTCAAAATGTTTAGCAGAACAATATTTTTTTATAAGAAATCGAATCTTCTTATATAGCATTTTTCATTAATATAATGTTATATAGTATAATACATATTTCATAATAATTTATTGAGTTATGTATTACCAGGTTTATTATTATGATATTAAATTATAAAAAAAAAGTTATAGTTTAGTTAAAGCACTATCCAGTTATCATATGCTATTATAAATGAAGCGTAAACTGGAATATATCTTTTATTACAATATATGTGATAACAAAAATATATGTGATAACAAAAAAAAAATATACAAAAAAAAGCCAGAAGTGTAGATATAATAAATCTATACATCTAGATATATTTGTTCTATCTACACTTCAACAACAGTAATATATGTAAATATAATACAACAACAGTAATATATTTACATATATTACTGTTGCTGTAGCCACATATAAGCGCAAACTGTACTTACAATTTAATTAATTTAACAAAATTTTACAGTTACCTAAACAAAATTTTACAACTAATTTAATAAAATTTTCACGAATGTATGTTAGCCATTTTACCGAGTAGAACACGTACCAGAAATACGTTTAATACGCGTAGATTATTGGATAAATAACTGCCTATTAAACGTGTTTTTATTACATGTATATACAAACGCGCACACGCATCGGCTTTAAAAATAATAATAAAAAACAAAACTTGAAAATTTTATTAATTTGTACAGTATTCAATATGCACATCTATATTATAATTTTTATAATATAATAAAACTAAATGTTATTTTCATTTTATAATAACAAAGTTACACCAAAAGTAGTTGTTTACCAATGTATACTAGGATTTATTTACCTTGTATTATATAAACTGTATTATATTATTTCTTACAATTTTTTCAATTAATCTTTATACAATAAAAATACGCTAAACAACATTATATTCAAAAATTGCATTATTAGGCAAACAATTGAGACCAACTTTATTGATTTGACTGCATTCGCTTTTTGTGGTAGACCATAAAGAAGGACGTTTTCAAAAAAAAACAAAACTTTTGATGTTTTTTAATATTTCTATCAAATTTAAGAAATCTATATCAAAATAAAAGAAATTAGTTGAGTTAAAGTAAAAGTTCTTATTTAAATCTGATGCATGCAGCCAGCTTAAAGTTACCACACCCACAAAAAAAAATAAAAGTTTTAATTGAGTGGGTTTTACCTTTCTGTATTCTTTGCTGCTAACTTTGCCTACATCCCTATCTTCAATTAAACAAATTGGTTTTATAAAACAATGTTTTTTTTTTTTTTTTTAATGTTAACAGCAAAAAATTTATAATTTATACAACAATATATAATTGGGTTCGCACCACCAAAGGCGAACTGCATTTACCTTTTTTGGTGCATCATTAAATAGAACGATTTCCGAAAAAAACCAAACATCTGTCGTTTTTCGATAGCTTTTTCAAGTTTAAGAAATGTATATCAGAAACCAAGAAATTAATTGAACCCTTTATTTTGAAAACGTGACGAGTCACAAAATTATACAGGTGTAAATTATTACAGATGAATAATGCTCCTCCTTTAAAATATTTTATCTTTTTTTTATCTTAAAAATATTTCTTTATTTTAAAACAATTTTTATTTTATCTATAAAAATATTTATATTATCTAAAAAATCAAATCTTTTCCTAATAAAAATATTTTTTCCAAATATCTTCATTTTTGAGAAAAGTGTGACACGTTACGTTTTTGAAATATTTCTAAAACGTAACGTTTTTGAAATATTTCTAAAACGTAACGTTTTTGAAATATTTCAAAAACGTAACATTGTTCAGTTTAACCAAAGGAATAATTAAACCTGAATGCATTCAACCAGTTTATAGACAACTACCACATCCACAAAACTATTAAAACTTTCAAATGTGTAAATTTTAAATTTCTGAATTCTTTGTCACTCACTTTGCCTTCATCCTTCAACTATAATCAATATGAGTAATAACTTTTTAAACATAACATTTGGTATAAAACCAGCATTAAATAGTTTCCAAATAAATTTTTGAGAAATTATGAAATAAAAGTAATTTAACATATAAACAAAATAAAAAGCAAATTTTTCTTTGAACATCCTGCTATTAAAAATACTTAGATTCTAGTTGGAGGTTGTTTCAACCTTGTTGCAGGAAAGTAAGTCGTCAAGTACAGGCTGCCAAAACCTAAAAAACGAAAATAAAAAATTACTGCTGTTCTATTAGTTTATCATAATGTTCTAATTTTGTTTAAATTAGTAAATTCTAATTTATAAATCTAAACCCTACTTTAATTTGCATAGCTTGTTTAACAGCCTAGCTTTAAATATTTCATAGCTAACCTTAAGCATAACTTAATGTTATATAATAACAATAATATATAAATAAACCATTATTTTAACTTATCTTAAACCATCAGAAATACTATAAACATCGACACCTTATTTGATTCAAAATAAATAAAAAACAAAATATTAAGAGAGGTGTCATCTTATTTATAATTATAATTGGTCATCTTTTTGATATTTATAATTGGAAATACTTAAAACTTTAAAACTAATAAAAACTAAAAAAAAAAATTAAAACTAATAAAAACAAACTCATTTTATATTTAAAATATGCTAACTTTTTCATGAAGGTTATATTAAAAATTCTCGAAATGATATTAATTAAATCCAAATATAAAAAAATATTTTAAATATTATACTTATTTTAAATAGTTTCTGAATTCAAGATATAATCAAAATGCAAAAGGATTTTCAGAAATGAAATGAAACTATCATTATCATCAGCAAAAAATTTGTTGCTTATACATTATTTTTGATATTTTTCAGCACAAAATTTTAAATAAAAAACCATATAAATGGTCAGCTTTGCATAATACATCAATTGCACTAGCAATTATGCAAGTCATTATATTTGTGATACCTGTTTTATAATTCACAATACTTGTTTGGATTTTGGTTTATTTTAGATAACCTTAACCCAAACATTAGGTTTTTTTATTAATCTGATACCTTGTATCAGATTTCTATAACCTCATAAAAGAATATGTGATACTTTGTATTTGATGTTTATCAACATTGAAAAACAAACTACAAACTGATTTTGTGTATGAAAATGCAAAATATAAAATGCATATTGAATTTAAATAAGAGAAACACAATTTTTTAAGATATAACAATTTAATGAAAATTTAATATAAAACATTTAAATCTGTAAAAATAGAAAGTTTATGAACACTTCAGTTCATTACTAATATAACGTAGAATTATATTCAAATAGTCTGTTTAAATATACAATTAAAAATGGTAGTACTTTTTTTTGTTGCTGCTTATACCTTTTATTCACAGTAAAGACATACCCGGATTTCTTTCAACACCAAAACCCTAGCAAACATATCAGCGTTGAATCAACGTTGAAAACCAATCGCAGCGTAGAAAAAAGCGTTACAGTCACAAAAACAACGTGCTTTCAACGTTGAATCAATGTCTTTTTTTGTATACTAAATCGCGGTAAATTAAATCGTTAAATAAGCGTTGAAATTGTAACGTAGTTTAGCCTCTCAAAATAAAACGTTTATTCAACGTGGAATCAACTTACGAAAAAAGCCACTTTAAAAACGTTTTAAAGCATATGCTTTATCAGCGTTAAAAACAAACCGCTTCTTAAACGTTACATTTTCCACGTTGAATAAGCGTATAAATTTAAACGTATCTTATCTTCTCAAAAAACCACGTTTATTCAATGTTAAATAAAAGTCCGCAAATAATCACTGTAAAAACGTCGCAAAGTTTATGGTTTATTAACGTTAGGCATTAGCTGTTTTTTTAACATATTTAAGCTATTTATAAAACAACGCTTATTCAACGTTACATATACCAACTTTGAAAATGTAGTAATTGAAAAAAGTGGTGTACCACCTTAAAAAAGTGTTACTTTGCCAACGTCAGGGTTAGGGTTACCCTCGGACCTCTGGGTTATGAGCCAGAACTCTGGCCACTGCGCCACGGCTGCTGATTCTAACGTTGGTCTGACGT